TTATTATATTTATTTATTAATATATATTAAATAAATTTTATAATATATTTACTATTTAATAAGTATTTAAAAAAATATCATAATATATATATAAATTACTGCATAAATTATGTATAATTTTATAATTAAAAGCCGTATAAATTGAATAATATATATATATTTTAATAAAAAAATTGTATTATTTAATATATTTATTTATTAAATATAATAAACAAGAAATAAAATTACATTATTGAATATTTATTTATTAATTTATATTTAATATATTATTCAATTAGTAAATATTTATTTAACTAATAAAAAAATTAATAATATATCACGTATTATTTAATGAAAATATATATAATGTATTAATTTTATAATTAAAAGTAGTATAAATTGAATAATATATATATTATTATTTTTAGATAAAACGTTTCTGATTAATATATAAATAAAGTCCAATCTATTAAGAATAGTGTGTTAGGTCAAGTGGCATTGAAGCTCACTTGGGTGCCTATCACCCTGGGTTCGATTCCCCTTCTCTACGTTTTTTTTGTAAAAATGCCACATAATTTGCCAACTAGACATCAGATTTACAACTCAACAAAAAAAAATCATGTAAAAATGCCACGTAGACTAGCCGGTAAAAATAACCTGCATTTGCCGGTGACAGGACCATTTCTCAAGATTTTTGCCACTTACGGGACGTGATCCAAAAGTGGGCATCGGAGAGGACCAAACCTCAAATAGGAGCCACTTACAGGACGAAATCTCCAATTTTTCCTCTGGTTTGATCAGTATAACTGGTTAGAGTACAACGTGAAGAAGGATAAAATTTTTTGTTTGTGTTGCTATTTGTTTCGAGATAACTTTGAAAATAAAGGTGGAAATGATGCATTTGTTACCGAGGGCTTTTCGAGTTGGAATAAAACAGAGAGATTAGCCTCTCATGTGGGCGATGTTAATAGCTTTCATAACAATGCCGTAAAAAAATGTGATGATTTGTTGAAACAAAGTCAGTCTATTGCAGTTGCTTTCCATAAGCAAAGTGAAGTTGTGAAAAATGAATATCGTATCCGTTTAAATACCTCAATTAGTGCTGCTAAATTTTTGTTGAGTTTAGGATTACCCTTCTGTGGCCATGATGAGTCAGATCAATCTAATAACCGAGGGGTATTCTTAGAAACGATAAAGTATACTGCAGAAAATAATGAGACTGTAGGGAATGTTGTCTTGAAAAATGCTCCATGAAATAATCAAATGGTGTCTCCGAGTATTCAAAAAGACATTGTTCATTGTTTGGTTCAAGAAATCATCCGTTCTATTCTAGGTGAAATTGGTGATGATGTGTTTGCTTTGTTGGTTGATGAATCTCGTGATGCTTCTGATAAGTAGCAAATGTCAGTGGTTTGCGTTTTGTTGATATGCATGGAGTTGTGAAAGAAAGATTTGTTGGTGTTATTCATGTGAAAGAGACAACTTCTTTGTCTCTTAAATCTTCAATTGATTCTTTATTTGTTGAATATGGATTAAACATGAAAAAGGTTAGAGGGCAAGGCTATGATGGAGCAAGCAATATGAAAGGTGAGTTTAATGGCTTGAGATCTTTGATTTTAAAAGAAAATAGTTTTGCATATTATGTTCATTGTTTTGCTCATCAACTTCAATTGGTTGTTGTGGGACTTGCAATAAAACATCATGATGTTAAGAGTTTTTTTTTGATATAGTAGCTACTTTGTTGAATGTGGTTGGAGCTTCTTGTAAAAAAAAAGGATATGATTCGAGAAGCCCAACAAAACAAAGTGAAAGAAGCCATTGGTAGTGGTGCAATTGCAACAAGAAAAGGGCTGCATCAAGAGATTTCTTTGCACATCGCCTGGGAGTACACGTTGGGGGTCTCATTACAAAACACTTTTGCGTTTGGTTGAATTATTTTCTTCAGTTATTGAGGTGCTTGAATTTGTTGAAAGTGATGGAAAAGATGAATCTAGACATCAAGCACGTGGTCTTCTCATTTATTTGCATACATTTGATTTTTTGTTTTACTTACACTTGATGTTGAAGGTTTTAGGATTCACAGATTCTTTATCAACGACATTGCAAAGAAAGAATCAAGACATCTTGAATGCTACGTTGTTGGTGAAGGCAACTAAAAGTCAACTTCAAAAGCTTAGAGATGATGGGTGGGATTCTCTCCTCGAGAAAATATCATCTTTTTGTGAGAAACATGACATTGCAGTGCCAGATATGGTGGAATCTTATATTGTTCCGAGGCGGCCCAGAGCAAAAGAAAAGGTCACCAAGTTACATCATTACTCGGTGAATTGTTTTTACATTGTTCTTGATATGCAACTTCAAGAATTTAATGATCGCTTTAATGAAGTCATCTCTGATTACTTATTTGTACGGCTTCGTTAAATTCTGCTAACTCGTTCCATGAGTTTGACCCCTCAAAGTTGATGAGATTGGCTGAGATTTATCCAGAAGACTTTAGCTCCATGGATCGCATAGCTCTTGAAGATCAACTTGGAGTGTACATGATAATGTTCGAAATGATGGAAGATTTTCCAACCTAAAGGATATCAGTGATCTCGCTCGAGTTATGGTCGAAATAAAGAAACATCTTTCGCATCCATTGGTGTATAAACTTTTGAAGTTAACTCTTACTTTGCCCGTTGCCACTGCAACTGTCGAGAGAAGTTTTTCGGCGATGAAGTACGTGAAGAATTCTTTGCGAAACCAAATGAGTGATCTATGGTCTTTTGATTTGCTATGTAGAAAATGATTTGCTAGAAAACGTTACGAATGATGTAGTGATTGATCGTTTTTAGAAAATGAAAACTCGTAAGGAACAGTTGTAAGATATGACTTATGTGTAATGTGATGACATTATTTTTTTTTTAAATTATTCTTGTTGTTAATTATATGGTGCCCCCATTATGTAATCATACTGGATCCGCCATTGAATATCAATATATTTATCGTTATTATAAGCTTAGTTACTTTTGAACTGAAAATAAATTAAAATTCATCCAAGCTTAATTACTTTTGAATTTGAAAAAAAAAATAATAATTTGTTTAGGATATAGAAGCGTGTAAGCATGCACTTAGATTCAATACATTCGGAAATTAGAAATTATATATAGAGATTTTCATTTGAAAAAATAAAATAATATTAATAATCAATACTATAAAACCAGCACATCATAATATTTTTGAATTTGAAATTTAAAGGGAAATTTTGATCTATCCTACCAGATTTTGAAAAAATTATAAAAATACAATCTATACATAAATAATTACATCTCTACCTAATATGTAATAAATAACTTCATTAATGCCTAAAGTAAATTACTATTCATTCAATCTCCATCCCCCTTTTTGTGGGTTCGACTAAGGGGAGAGAAATAAAAACAATAACTGACTAATTTAATTCCTTAATTCAAACAACAGTAGTCAGGTGGTATATTTTTCGTTTATGTTGGTATATATTCAGTATATGTTGCAATGAAAAAACTATGTCTCCCATCAAAAAATTATGTATTCTTTTTTTTTTAACATTTATACGTAAGTATATATAAATATATACAAATCTTCTAATATGGTGAACATATATGGAACATACATACACTTAATAGTTTACAAAAAAAAATCTTCTAATATATTGAACATATACTCAATATACACACCACATATACTCCATATACACACCTCTACTAATAGTTTACACAAAAATCTTCTAATATATTGAACATATACTTAATATACACACCACATATACTCCATATACACACCTCTACTTAATAGTTTACAAAAAACCGTCTAATATATTGAATATATACTCAATATACACACCACATATACTCCATATACACACCTCTACTTAATAGTTTACAAAAAAATTGTCTAATATATTGAACATATACTCAATATACACACCACAATCAGATTATGCTAAGTATAAATTGATTTTATACATAAAAATTATGTCTCGCAATAAATTTCTTTATCATATACCGAAAATATACTGAATATAAATCATACATATACCCAAAATGAGGATTGCATTGAACCAAAATCTAGCAACATTCTCATTGAATAAAACAGCAGCAAGCATATACTGATACAATAAGCAGAGACAATCTCACAATCCCTAAACTGAAGAAATATAACAACATTCACTGGGGAATTACATCAAACACTTCATGTTCATAATGAAAATGATGCACAAAAAACTTAAAAAAAGGATACTACAGAAATATTAAAAACCTGGCCGTTCAAATTGGGTTTCACTATTCAACCCAGATTCCATACACAAACAGTTCCTTATTAAAAAAAGAAGGATACTACAGAAACCGTTCAAATTAGGTTTTCTTATTCAATACAGAAGCCAAGCCTCGATCACGCGCATCCTGCAACTTTGAGCAAACAGAATTCACCAACTCCACCGTTCCATTTTTTGCCGCAATCGCCGCGTTCCCGGAGATATGGTAGCAGAGTGAAAGAGAGAAGTAACTTTGTTCCGCTTTTTGGGTAGTAAATAATTAATTTCAAATAATTATATCAACTGCATTTAATTTGTCAGGGTTATTGTTTAGTAACCGTAAAATCTGGATCATTCACATTTAGGTATAATTGCAATATTTTATGCATATTTTTATAAATTTATAAATAAGTTTATAGAAGGTGTATAAGTGTAATATATATCATAACTTAAAGTAAGGAGTGCAAATTCCTCAAATTTTAAAATGTCATAATCTCAAAAGAAGACGCTCTTCCCATATTCTCTAATCTCTTCTTTTTATTCTCTATATTTTATTTAATTTATTTTAACTATTTTTTTTTTAAAAAAAAATTGATCAAGCCGCTCTTCGCATAATTCTCTGCCTTTTCCCGCCCACTAAACCGCACTCGATAAATAAAAACTGATAACCCTATCATTTTTTCATATATAGCATCATATATTCGGTATCATTTTCCAGAAAAATAAGAAATTATCTACACCAATCTCTGTATCCATGGAGGAATCTGCACCCAAAGACCAATCCTCTGCCTCCGGTAAATTGTTTTTCAATATTTTCTATATTTTTTTATGATTGAATGCTTTTAAGCTTGATCTGGAAGTGTAACAATGAATGCTCAGAGCTTTTTTTTTTTCGTCTGTTCATTTAATATTCGATTTTTTTATTCCGTTTAATTTTGAAGAAACGGGAAGATCAACCACGAGGCTTCTCCGGTATCCTCTCCGATCAGCAACCAAACTGAAGGACGAGAAACCGCCGGTTGCGGGCTCCGCAAACTCCATCTCGGCCGCCAAAAGGTTTGCTGTTGTGTAATCTGGGTAATTCAGTGTTAGGAACTTTGAGGGCTCGTGAAAGATTTCAGTATTTGCTTATCAATTTGGTGTAATATAATCAAATAACTGCTTATAGGATATTTCAGTTAAGGTGTCATTTAATTTTCTGGGTTTTTAAAGGACATAAAGGATCTAAATCCTGACTTGTGTCTTTAATATCGTATCAAGTTGTAAAATATTAGCATAAGACAGGTCCTTTTTTCTCTTAATCCTTTGTCGTCTGTATAATCATTGTTAAGAAAAATGCAAGCTTGTCGAACATGAATGTTGTTCCCTAACTAACTATAGAATTGTATAGGTGGTTTTTTTGCTTTGTTAATTTGGTGTTCATAATTAGGGAAAGGGCTCCATCTAGTGTGAGCAAAAGTGTAGGAGTTCTCGATCTCTCTGGAAAGGAAAAGTCATCCGCAAAGCTTCCTAGACGGCTCTCCGTGCCTAACAGAAAGCCAAATGCTACCCCGACTCCAAAATCTGCCGGCAGTATAACTCCAATTTGCGAGACTCGAGCAAAGTCTGCCATCGGCCAGGGGAAAAGTGATACTCCACGTTCGGACATTTCCAAGTCGTCTGCTCGAAAGAAATTCAGTACTCTATCTTCAGCATCTTATTGGCTGTCTCAGATTAAGCTGTCAGAATCTGCTTCTAAGCACTCTATCTCCCTTGGTTTCTTTAAGCTTGCTCTGGAGGCTGGGTGTGAGGTATAGGACAAGGTTCATGCTTGTTCACTATTTGTGTTTTTGATATTTCAGTTCTTCGGATGATCTATTAGAACTGCCGATGATAAGTTTCAAAGTTACAAATACTACCTTTAAGGTTTGATTTAATGTTAATATAGGGAAGGTGGCTTTAGTATTTTTATGATTTGATGGGGATATATGATTTATTTATTTATTTTTTTTGTGAAGGAGCTGATGTTTACTGCATGAACCAAAAGTCTAAGCTTTCTTTTTTCTTTTTAGTTCTTAAAACCTCAGAATAGTTTTTGTATTTCACACAAATTATGGAGTAATCTTAGGTGCACTTGGTAGTTTTAGGAAGAAAACAATGTCTACGCAATATTTATAATGTTCTGTATTTTTTTATTTAGTTTTTCTATTTCATGTTTGCTTTACAATGAAAGTGTAAATATTCATTTCAATCAAGTATACTAGACTACATGCAGGATTTTTTAGATGTGGGTAAAAATAGATTCTAACTATGATAGGCTAATCTGATCATTATAGTGATTAAAAATAAAAATATTGCAGACTATACAGCGATTGAGTGACGAACTAAAGTCATACGTGCGCCGTCACGACCTTTCTGAACATGGAGAAGACTTGAAATTTCTCTTGGAAGGCTTCAAGATTCCCGAAAGCTTTGAGCTTTCCCAGGTATCTGGAAAGTGTTTACAGGCACCTTCTGGGGGCAGTCAGTATTCTGATGATGATGTTAAAAGCTCGTCATCTTCTATAACTTATGCTGAGGAGACGCAAAAGAATGCTCACATGACTCAGCATGTCAAGAAGGCAAATAAAGAAAACTCTGAGAAGGATGGTACTGTGAAAGCTACCAAAAGATCGGTGCCTAAGAGGGCTGCAAGCTCTAAGCCTGATTTGGAAGTTAAAGGTCGATGTGTGCAAAAGAAAAATGAGAAACTGGTAAAGCAAGAATCGGCTCAGGACAAGGACAGAGTAAAGAAGCAGGGGAAATAATCCGTTCAAGAGGAAGGTGATTGAATATTTACAGATAAGATTTAGAACAATACTGTTGTGAAATATTACAAAACCTAAAAATGAAAGATTAGTTATATTTAAATAAATATTAATAACCTTGGTTTTATTTGCGTCTTATATGCTCCTTACGAAGGTCCATCAGGGGCTTAAGGTTAGTTTAAACAAATGTAAAGGGTCATTTGTAGTTAGGCTAGACCCTAGTGTAACTTCTGTAAATAACTCTATTATTTATACTTTTTTTGTATGCTTATCGAGCTAATCGTTGTATATTTGTTGGCAGCTGTGTATTCTATTATTATGAATCCTGCTTCGGAGGAAACTCGTGAAGATAACAAGGAAAACACGGTGAACTTTTAATACCTAATGAAACGCTATCTTCTATTTCTTTACGGATTATATTTTTTCTCCATATCTCTTATCGTTATATGCATTACATGTTTCGAGTTTTCCATTTTAGGTTGAATCCCAGATGTCAGAGGTTGGTCCAACCGAAGTTTAGACGAACAATATAAACTCGTATGGTTATTGATCTTCATTTCAAGCAGATTAATGTATATGATACAGAGTGGTGTGATGTGTTAAATTTCGAAAATTTGTTTGGTTTTGTTTGTTTATTGGTTGGCTTTTTCTGTGATACTGCTTGTCTATATTTTTACACACTTCAAAGTTTCATTTCAGGTTTTGTAGTTAATAAGAAGTTGGGATGTCACTTTGAGTTTTATTATGCCTTGTGACCTCCTGGATTGCAAGGAATTATGTAATTAAATCACCAATGTGAATAAGCTTCTAACTCTAATGGTAAACAATCAACATATAAAAATAAGAAAAATGGTACAAGTACATAATGAAGGTACATAGAGTTGTACATATAGTGGTGTTCATGGTTCGGATTGGTCCAGTTTTAGCCCAAACCATGACCAAACCGGACCTAACGATTAATTTTTTTTCTTGTCCATAATGGGACCGATTTTATTTTTTAACCGGTCACAATCCGGACCGCAATGGACGGTCCGGTTTGGCGGTTAATCAGTTATATCTAAAATCATTGTTTTTAGCCTTCAATTTTTATTTTTTTCATTTTGGACTTAATTTTTATTTTTCAATTTTGGGACCAAAGGAGATTATTTGGGCCTAAAAATTAAGAAAAACAATAATAATGAGATAAAAAGTACATAATTCATCCCTAAGCATAAAAATACACATTTCGTTTCACAAACATAAAAATACAAAAATGATGAAGATTAAATTATGCAAACTTAACCCAAGCAAGGTGAAAAAATGTGAAAAGTTATAGTGTCTTACAAAATTAAGTCAACAAAATGGCAAAAAGTGAAAGTGAATGTATTGTATTTGTCGGCCATAGTAAATGATTGAATGTATGTATATATATATATTTGTTATAGTTTTTTAATATTTATTGGTCCGGTCCGGTTAAACCGGCAGTTTGCCACAGGTAAATTATTCTAGATTTGCAGAAAAAATTAACCACCGGATTTTCTAAGGTTTTTTTGACCGACCATTTAACCGATCCGCAGTCCGAATTAACGGTTTTTTTGGGTTAAAACCAGACTGTGAACACTACTAGTACATAACACTTACATGGATGAGTCCACTTGATTTTTTATTTTTTGAGGGTCCCCCCTAATACATAACACTTACATGGATGGGTCCACTTGATTTTTTATTTTTTGAGGATCCCACTAAAGTGAGTATTAATGTACACACTTATGTACAATGTTATATACCTATAATATTTCTCAATAAATAATGTTAACCATACAAGTAACTTTTAGGGATTGAATCTTTCAACCATTAATTGGGTGAGATGCGAACAGATTGGGAGAGAACTCTGGACTTCATGATTATATAATTATATCATATAATTGCAAATCTTATATAAAATTGTTAGGCATTTCATATTACTATAGATATATATATATAGGGTTGGGTTCACAAGAGAATAGTTCTCAATGAAAGAATGAGAATACATGATGACCATTAAATCGAATAATCCAAAGAATGAAAAAAAGTCAATATTTTACATTTATTAAAGATATTGCAGACATTTTACACATTTATCCCACAAACCTAATCTTATCATTGTACCCCACATCTTAATTCCACAAACCCATCACCGTTGCTCTCTCTTACTCTCCCTGTGGCCTGTTGCACTCTCTCTCTCTCTCTCTCTCTCGCAGGCATAATCTCTCCCCACTGTCGGCGCCCATCTCCTGTGAATCCGACCCGTCCGTTAGCATCCCAGTGATCGGCGCGCATCACCAACACCAGCTAATATCATCCCCCGTCTAGCCGTCACCTCTGAAAAACCGACGGCCTTCCGTCCGCGACCTCGCCACCGCCCACCGCCGTTCTCGACGGTGCTGCCGCCGCCATCTGGCATGTTCTTCTCCACCACGGCGGAAGATCCAGACGACCAATTTCTACCGAGAAACATGAAGTCATGGTCTCCCAGTCAAAATCGGCCATTGATGCGAGAGCTCGAAATTCACGAGCACCATCTCGATTATCGATATCAGACGTTCTGGCACAAAAACGAGTTATCCAGTACCTTAAGAAACTCCTCGTGGTCAGGAATTCAGAAGACGAACATATAAGGTGGTCGGACGCGAAAGTCTCGTTCAGCTCATCCGGCCATGGCGGACGTCGTGTGTTTTCCGTTGGTTCGATAGTCAGAACGGCGGCTAAACAGGGTGGATCCGGTCGGCGACTCTCTGGTGGTCGGCACGGCGGTGACGGGAGGGTGGTCTGAAGGTTCCATTGGTTTTTTATGCTAGGGGCTTAATTTTGAAAATTAGATACATCCAAGGGACCTATATGCAATTTCTTTAGTATTAATTATATTTCAATTCAACCCATAGTCATATTTGTAATTATTGAAAATTAATAGAAAACTATTTCTCATACATATTGTTATGGATATATTATATAATAAATAAAATATTAAATAAAGTAATATAAAATATCAAAATAGTATAAAAATAATTTAAAATAGCAAATAAATTATATGATAAAAATAATACATAAAAAATATTTTAGTAATGTAGCTTAATTCGATGTACATTTATATATATCAAAATTAGTTTTCGATTACATATAATTTAATTATATAGAAAAGTATAAATTATCGCACTTTATATAGCATAGTCTTGCACTTTTTAAATCAACATGTTGCACCTTATAAAATAACATGTTTTAAATAATCGATCGGACTATATGTTATCGCACTTTATATAGCAGAATCTTACACTTTATAAAATAACACGTTGCCCCTTATAAAACAACATGTTTTAAATAAGAAAATATATTATATTATTTAATTTCACGAACAATAATATAAACTATTAACTAAAAAATTTACTAATACGAAATATATTTTTTTTATAAAAACAAAAAAAAAAATTGCACTTCGAATATGCATTAGTGTTAGACTGGTTGCATGTTAATGTCTTGAATATTGCACTTCAACGTTAGACGGATTGCACATTAGTGATTGTCAGATTGCACTATACCGACCGAACCCGACTAACTTGGTTTTTTCTTTTTTGTATTTGAATTTTATGTCGAATCGATTGTATATCCTTACCTTTAAAATTTTAGTTATTTCAATTCGATATAATTTTTTATTTTTTATTTTTAAATAACCAAAATAACCAGAACGACCAAACCATAATAAACAAATACTCTTTTTTTTTTATAAATATTTCTTTTTTATAAAACTGTTATTCTTACAATTAAGATAAATAAAATGTTAGATAAAAATATTAACTTGCAATTTACATAACATTAACGTGCAATCTAACGGTAGATAACGTGCAATTTACAAAACACTAGTGTGCAAGTATTTAAGTTTTTATAAATTATAAATTTAACCAATGTATTGAATTGTAATAAATTCAAGTTTATACAATTGCATTGAATCCTTTAAATATTTCAAATTTTCAAAAAAATGCCCCCAAATTGCAAAAGGTAAAGTCCCTTTCTCCTATGCATTTCTGCCGGGGCGAGTTCAGACGAAGATGTGAGCCTGTGGCGGCGACGGGCTTAGTGTCGGCGAAAGAGTCGACGAGGCTGGCGCGACAAGCGAAGGTGGTTCTTGCCACCGGACACCTGCAACTTCGCTGGTGCGCGAGATGGCAGAGCTGGCGTGGGCCGGTGGCGGTGGTCGCAGGTGGCGACGGCGGGGACGTTGTTGCGACTGGAAGAGGCGGCGGACGGCGGAGACAGATGGCAGAGGCGATGCGGTTGATGCTGTGGTGGCCAGACGGCAGACCCGCGGCGATGGACTGGCGGTAGAAGGTGGATGCGTGGTGGAGGTTCGTTGACGGCGGCGATTACGGTGGCCGTCGACGTTTGGAACACTGCGTCTTCAGTCGGGCCGCGAACAGCCGGTGGGGAGAGAGGGACGACATATAGAAAGTGGGAGAGAGGAGAGAGAAGAGAGAGAAGAGATGAGAGAGGAGAGAAAAACAGGGAGAAGAAAGAGGAAAGAGAGGGGAGAGAAGAGAGGAGAGAGAAACATGTTTTATTTAACGGTGGGTCCCACTTATTTTGGGTGTATGTTTAATTACATAAATACCCTCTGGTGTATTTATTTAGTTATGGATATTGATATATTTACGATTTTGCCATTAATGAATTGACCATTGTTATTTAATTTTGACTTCATCATGTCCTTTGATACACTTGATCCATTGGTCTACAATCATTCTTATTTCTTTCACTATCTACCATTCTCACATGATCCCTTACCTATATATATATATATATATCTATATATATATAATAAGAATTACTATTTACTAAAAATAGTAATCCAAAAATTTAGGAAAACATTTATTGATTACTATTTTAAGAATATTTTTCCTTGAAAAAAAATCTACATTTAAAACATCCTAATATTTTCAAAAATTTTGGTAATCTGTTGGGATGTGATAGTGATAATGTTTTATCCCTTTTTTTTAAAAAAAAAAA